GGATCTAAGACACTTCTACAATCTACACTCCCATATAATACAGTTCAAAGCAGATTATCCACATTAGCAGTTTTGAAGTGGATTATACGACTCTATAGAATCACAGAGTTGGAAGAGACCTCATGGGCCATCCAGTCCAACCCCCTGCCAAGAAGCAGGAAAATTGCATTCAAAGCACCCCGATAGATGGCCATTCAGCCTCTGTTTAAAAGCTTCCAAAGAAGGAGCCTCCACCACACTCCGTGGCAGAGAGTCCCACTGCTGAACGGCTCTCACAGTCAGGAAGTTCTTCTTCATGTTCAGGTGGAATCTCCTTTCTTGTAATTTGAAGTCATTGTTCCGTGTCCTAGTCTCCAGGGCAGCAGAAAACAAGTTTGCTCCCTCCTCCCTATGACTTCCCCTCACGTATTTCTATATGGCTATCATGTCTCTTCTCAGCCTTCTCTTCTTCAGGCTAAACATGCCCAGCTCTTTAAGCTGCTCCTCATAGGGTTTGTTCTCCAGACCCTTGAAATCTTAGTCACCCTCCTCTGGACACATTCCATATAATCCAGCTCAAAGCAGATAATGTGGATTTTATACAGCGGTGTAGAAGTGGTCCCAAGCACCAAAATTAGTGTAATAATATATTGTTTTGTACCGCCCTGGAAATCTGATTGTCAATAAATAATACGTAATATATATATACTGTATATTCTGGCATATAAGACTACTTTTTAAACCAAGAAAATCTTCTCAAAAGTCAAGGGTCATCTTATACACAGGAGTCAGAGGCGGCCCTAGGTAATTTTCAACGGTTTGGCATGCCCTCCCCCCCAATCAATCATGGATATATATTTTCTGTCCATCGTGGGAATTCTGTGTGCCATATTTGGTTCAATTCCATCATTGGTGGAGTTCAGAATGTTCTTTGATTGTAGGTGAACTATACATCCCAGTAACTACAACTTGCATATGTCAAGGTCTATTTTCCCCCAAGAGCGCCTCAAGAGCGCGCCTGGGCAAAATCAACTATACTGCAAATGCTTATTTGCGTAATGGTTGAGCCGCCCCTGGCGGGAGTGGTCTTATACACGGGAGTCATCTTATACGCTGGGTCAAATCCGGATTGGAGAATCTGTGGTTGCTACATATTGTGGGAGGAGCTCAAAAATGGCCAGAAAAACACAACTCTTTTACCTGTCTGGCCCGCCCTTGTATCCTATTACCGTCCCTCCTCTTCTGCCTCTCAGATCTCACTCCTGAAGACTGCAGTGAAGTAGTGCAGGTGCGCATGTGCGAGATCTGAGAGGCAGAGAAGGAGGTACAGTAATAGGAAAATTACCATATTGAAATCAAATCTGATGCTTTTAAAATTGTATTTGGTGTGCATTGGAAGAGGGGTAGTCTTATACAGCGAGTATATCCCAAACTATATTTTAACTGGAAAAGTTGGGGGTAGTCTTATACGCCCAGTCGTCTTATATGCCGATAAAGGTAAAGGTTTTCCCTTGACATTAAGTCCAGTCGTGTCCGACTCGGGTTTGGTGCTCATATCCATTTCTAAGCCGAAGAGCCGCCGTTGTCCGTAGACACCTCCAAGGTCATGTGGCCGGCATGACTGCATGGAGCGCCGTTACCTTCCCGCCGGAGGTACCTATTGATCTACTCACATTTGCATGTTTTCGAACTGCTAGGTTGGCAGAAGCTAGGGCTGACAGCGGAAGCTCACGCCACTCCCGGGAATCGAACCTGCGACCTTTCGATCAACAAGCTCAGCAGCTCAGTGCTTTAACCCACTGCGCTACCGGGGGCTCATATACGGTATATAGGAGAAGCCAAAACGACAAAATGCAAGACCGGAAATACATGAACAAATGTTTATTGAAATAATCAGAACGCCTTTTAAAAAAACAGATTTTAAAAAAAGAAAACACCCTTTCCTATTTACTTGGAGCTGCCTTCAGAAATACTAAGAACTCATCTCCCAGCAAGTGCATTGCCCTGGGGAGGAGAAGAGGCAGGAAGGAAGAGAGGAGGCAAGTGCATCCTGGGAAAGGCCCAACTCCCCTAAAGCCCCCTCTTGAAGGGAGGGAGCAAGTGTCAGTTCCTCTCTCCCTGAAGCCGCCCTGAAGAAGACAACACAGGAGAAGGGTTCCACCAAAGCCCAGCAGAAGCCCTCTGGCCCTTCTTAAACCAGCGATGCGGGATAGGAGGGGCAGTATCACAACTCCCATCCGCTCAAGGAAGACAGGAGTTGGAGTCCAGCATCATATAAGGACATGGGCCTAAAAATCTCTCTCACATACATACCCGTCGAGGGACTCTCCTTCTAGATGTAATTGTCCCAAATCTCCAGAATGCTGCCTATACAAATTCGATACACTTGTGGGTTTGTTTACAAGGATGACATTGTCGCCAAAAGGGCTTTAGTTTAGACTGTGAACTAAAATACCAGCCCGGATCAAGTTTGCCCACTTCTCGGAGATTAACTTCGGTTCTAGATGTTGGAATCCGGACAAAATATGCGGTTTAGAGCCAAACATTCTGGCAACATACAAAACACTCCGTGTGTAAGCATTCGGGCTATCCTTTGCTCCATTCCCGTCTTCCAAATATAAATTAGATACTTTAAAAACAGTCAAACTCTTCTTCAAAAGGGGAGAAACCCCAATAATAATATCCCAGAATATCAAGAAAAAAAATCCTTAGGTTCTTGTGGGTTTTTTCGGGCTATATGGCCATATTCTAGAGGCATTTTCTCCTGATGTTTCGCCTGCATCTATGGCAAGCATCCTCAGAGGTAGTGACTACTTTTTAAACCACTCCCACGTATAAGACGACCCCTGACTTTTCGCCTGCATCTATGGCAAGCATCCTCACTACCTCTGAGGATGCTTGCCATAGATGTAGGCGAAACGTCAGGGGAAAATGCCTCTAGAACAGTGGTTCTCAACCTGGGGTCCCCAGATGTTTTTGGCCTTCAACTCCCAGAAACCCCAACAGCTGGTAAACTGGCTGGGATTTCTGGGAGTTGTAGGCCAAAACACCTGGGGTCACAGGTTGAGAACCACTGCTCTAGAACATGGCCATATAGCCCGAAAAAACCCACAAGAACCTAGTGATTCCAGCCATGAAAGCCTTCGACAATACATCAAAAAATCCTTGGTTATCTGAGTCCACACTGCCATATATCCCAATTCAAAGCAAATAATATGAGATTTTATACAGCTGTGTGGAAGGGGACCCTGACAGGCCCTATATCCCAGGATCTGATCCCACGTTTTTTGCTTTAAAGTGGATTATATGAGTCCCCACTGCCAGATAATCTGGGATAAACAAAACCTGGGATCAGATCCTGGGATGTTTCGCCTGCATCTATGGCCCTATATCCCAGGATCTGATCCCAGGTTTTCTGCTTTAAAGTGGATTATATGAGTCCCCATTGCCAGATAATCCGGGATAAACAAAACCTGGGATCAGATCCTGGGATATAGGGCCTGAATGCCAATGCGACTGATCTCTCTCCAATTTGGCCTTTCTTCCCCCAATCGCTTTGTAGGACAAAATCCCGGATGTATTATTATTATTATTATTATTATTATTATTATTGATATTATTATTAGGCTCGATTCTGCGATTCGGTGCTCCTCTTATCATTCTTTTGTTTCGATTTGGTGGGAAATGTTAAAGGGAGAGAACAGACGTTAGTTAAAGAGGCATAGTTTTCCAGCATGCATAATACTTCATCATAGCATAATTAATATCGCGTGACAGTCGCGCGAAAGAGACCACCCACCGCCAAGTTCTCCCTCTGTGAAGACTTAAGAGACTTCCGACCATTCACCCGCTTTCCCTAGGAAGTGAGCGAGTTTCTGAGAATACAAATAATAATAATAATATTGAGAATATTCTTTAAAAACCCAGTTAGCAAATAGCCAAGTTTCCTCAGAGGAGTTTTTTAACAGAATCCAGCATCGATATGTCAATAAAAAGGGGAGTGAAGCGTCTAAAATAGTTTCAGCTTGTCGGCTTCTTCCAAAGAGATTCGGTAATTTCGTATCTCTGGAACGGGAGAATTGTATCCTTTCGTGGCCAGGAAAGCAGCTCCATTCGTCAAACCCATGCTCACTGATACTGTAATGCATTATACCACCAGTGTAGACTCATATAATCCAGTCGATGTGCATCACAACAGTACAGTTTGGGTCAAAAGGCCGGGATGGATTTCGTTTAGGAAGGCGTTCTGTTTCGGAGCGATTCCAGGCAGAATGATAGAGTTTGTAGTCTTTTGGAGTGTGTGCCCCCAAAGCAGGCAGTGCAGGCTTCCTTCGGGACCTCACAACTCGAGTTTGTCCTCCGTGTAGAGACAGTCCCCGAGTTACGAACACGAGGTGCTTTGTGGGTTCGTTTTGTACGTAAGCCGGGAACAGGTCCATTTTGTAAGTGTAACTCCAGCCAAAATATTAACATTTCAACCTTGAGTAGCATCGGGTAGAATCAACACACTCGTGGAGTCTGTTTTGCTGCCTGTGGCCCTGTTTGGAAGATTCCCCAACACTTCCTGCCTTGGGGAGAATTGGATTTTGGAAAATGTGGCTTGTTGTGGAAACAAGGATTGGTGAGACACCTTTTCCCAGTGATAATAACTCTTCCAGGAGTGAATTTCCCGTCGCAGGGGATGATAATAACTCTCCTAGGAGTGAACCTCTCTTCTGGGGGTGATAATAACTCTTCTAGGAGTGAATTTCCCTTCGGAGGGGATGATAATAACTCTTCCAGGAGTGAATTTCCCTCCCTAAGAGTGGATTTCTCCCACTTCCGGTTGTCTCATCCCCCTTTGTAGCTGACAGTCGGATGTTTGTAACTTGGGGACTGCCTGTGTGTATTGATTCCACTGTTGCCGCATAATCTGGATCATATGGCAGTGTAGAAGCGTCTTAGAAGGTCTTATATGATTAACTGTCTATCTGGCAGCCTAGATCCAGTCCGAGACGGGCAAACAGGCCGGAATTCGGCTTCTAGAGACCCAAGTTTGGTCGGAGAGGCGGTAAACATTGGTTCAGTCCTCCGATCCGTGGAAGCAAGAGCGTGGATCAGACCAGGCCCGTGACGGGCGGCCTCAGGAAGGGCGAGAAGGCGGCGGCCAGCGGATACGGAGGCCCTGCTCCCGCTCCGCCGGTTCCCGGATGCGGCGGCGCCAAAGGGAAGCAGCCCAAGGCTCCCTCGTGGTAGAGGATGGGCACGCGGACTATCCTTTGGGCCGAGGAGGAGGACGAGGCCGGCGCGTGCGGGAGGGTGGCGGCCTCCAGGTCCGCGGCCAGTTGCCGCTTCCATTTGTTGCGCCGGTTCTGGAACCAGATCTTGACCTGGGTCTCGGTGAGGTGGAGCGAGGCGGCCAAGCCGGCCCGCTCCGAGCTGCTCAGGTAGCGCTTCACGTCGAAGGTGGACTCCAGCTGGAAGACCTGGCTGCGCGAGAAGACCGTGCGCGTCTTCTTCTTCCGCCCCGAGGAGGCCAAGGCGGAGGAGGAAGACGAGGAAGAGGAAGAGGAGGAAGAGGAAGACGAGGCCCGCGCCTCGCTCAAGTCCGGCTCCTCCGTCGGGGGCTCCTCGTCCACGCTGCTCCCCACGCCCGGCGCCTCCTCGGGCGCCCCTTTCCCCGCTCCGCCGGGTCCGGCCTCCGCCGCCTTCCTCCGCCGCCGCTTCCTCTTCTCCTCCGGAATCGTCTCGTCGGAAACCTCCGGAGAATCTCGGTCGCTGGCTGAAGGAGGCGAGAAGAAAAGAAGCAAAACACAGAGGCCTGGATTAACAAAGGAACCTTATCCGTTCAGAATCATGAGTTTGGGATTGGCATTCTGTTGCCCTTGTATTGTTTTGGTCTATATCTGGGATCAGGCATGTGGGGGGGGGGGGGGGGGCTCGGGGGGCTTCAGCCCCCCCCCCCGAAATTTTCATGGTGGTTCGCGAAAAGGCCTTAATGGTGCATTAATTAAACTGTTATGTTTATTCATATCATGATCTGATCACCATACTCAATATATCCCATATGCATGGGGGTATTGGGGTAATGATACAAAAGGTTTGCTAGGGTAGACCCTCTTTCACTCAGACTCAGCACCCCCGAAACTCAGCCCCCCCCCAACCCACCCTGAAAAAAATTCAGCCCCCCCTTTTTCCTTCGCCCCCCCCCACCCCACCCCCCCCCCCCCCCCCCCCCCCCCCCCCTCCGCCCCCCCCCCCCCCCCCCCCCCCCGGAATCAAACTCACCCCCCCCCCCCCCCCCCCCCAACGAAATCCTGGCTACGGGCCCGTCTGGGATGTATTGCCTTCACGGCCGGAATCACTGGGTTGTTGAGAGTTTTCCGGGCTGTATGACCACGTTCCAGAAGCATTCTCTTCTGAAGAAGCCAGACCTTGAAACTGCTAGGTCATTAAATGCTAATCGAGGTGGCCAATCCAAACATTCACCGCTACCTCAAGCAGACAAGAGCTCTTTTTCCCCACCCTGGTCATTCCACAGCTATATAATAATCTCTGTGCATAATGAGTTAAAAACAAAAGAACCAATGAACGAAATCACACCAAATTTGGCAACAAAACATCTCACAACACAAGGAGTGACCATCACTCAAAAATTATGATTTTGTCATTTGGGAGTTGTAGTTGCTGGGATTTATAGTTCACCTACAATCAAAGAGCATTCTGAACTCCATCAACGATGGAATCAGGCCCGTAGCCAGGATGTCGTTTCGGTGGTGGTGGGGGGGGGGGGGCTGATTTTTTTCAGGGAGGAGACAGGTTACAGCATAATTAAAACACATAAACATAAAAATTCTATAAATACACATATTAAAACATATTTCTATTATATATATATATATATATATATATATATATATATATATATATATATATATAATATATATATATATATATATATATATATATATATATATATAAATGCTCTGTGCATAATGAGTACCTTAAAAACAAAAGAACCAATGAACGAAATCACACCAAATTTGGCAACAAAAGGTCTCACAACACAAGGAGTGACCATCACTCAAAAAATTATGATTTTGTCATTTGGGAGTTGTAGTCGTTGGGATTTATAGTTCACCTATAATCAAAGAGCATTCTGAACTCCACCAACGATGGAATTGAACCGAACTTTGCACACAGGCCTCCCATGACCAACAGAAAATACTAGCAGCGTTTGGTGGGCATTGACCTTGAGTTTGGGACTTATAGTTCACCTACACCCAGAGAGCACTGTGGACTCAAACAATGATGGATCTGGACCAAATTTGGCATGAATATTCCATATGCCCAAATATGGACACAGATGGAGTTTGGGGGAAATAGACCTTGGCATTTGGGGATTGTAGTTACTGGGATTTATAGTTAACCTACAATCAAAGACCATTCTGAATGAACCCCACGAGTGACAGAACTGGATCAAACTTCCCCCACAGAACCCCCATGACCAACAGAAAATACTTAAGACCATCCAGTCCAACTCCCTTCACCAGGGCAAGAAAACGATCAAACCCTCCTGACAGAGAGCCATCCAGCCATAGATTCAGATAGATATATATGATTCACACACAAAGA